TCCTCATACCCGCAGCTCTAGGGGAGGCTCCTATCTCATTAGTGGGACCATGTCCACCATCTCCTAACTTTTTCCCATGCCCTAGCTGAGCCCTCCTGTAAAGCATCTTTTACACTGCCCTGGACAGATCCAATACACAAATTTACCTTGATATTCTTCCTGGTGCACTCACTTCCCTAATACTCACAGAATCCTTAGAGTGGCTCATGAGACCTTTATAAAGTGTGACAATTACACCCCCATCAGTAATTCTAGCCTCTTTGCTTTTTACTTTCCCAACTATATGCCCCAGACATCTGATCCACTGGTAGTTCCACTGAACACATGTCCACTGTGCCTTTGTAAAATGCTCCCCATTCCTAGAACATCCTGCAATCCGTTCTTCGTCTGACCACTCTTGGCATATTTTAGAATTCAGGTTAGGGTCCCTTCCTCCCAGAAGTCTTCTCAGAATGCCATGGGGAAAATTACTCCTGCCTTCTTGCTCCCATTAAACTTGTACATGCATGTGCTATAGCACTGTTATAATAGCATAATTGCTTTGTTTGTAGATCTGATCCTCCAATTAGAGTGTGAGTATCATGAATAGGGATTCTGTTTCTTATCTTTGTAGCCTGAGTAATTAACAAAAGCCTGACACATTGTAGGTATCTGATAGCAGTTCACTAAATTAATGAAGTATTAATCTTGTATAGGGACCAGGGCAAACTCAAATGCCCTCAGAGCCAAGTATATAGAGAGAGCCACAGAAGTAACATTTCTGGCACTCTTCATTTCTTTGTGTAGATCCAGATCAATATCTGGTATCATTTCCCTTCTGCTTGAAGGACTTTCTTTAACATTTATTATAGTGCAGGTCAACTGGTGATGAATTCTTTCAGATTTTATATGTCTAAAAAGGTCTTTATTTCACCTTCATTTCTGAAAGACATTTTTGCTGGGTATTAAACTCTAGATTGACAATATTTTTCTTTTGGTACTTTAAAACATTGTTCCATTATCTTCTCAGTTGTATTATTTCTGACTAGAAATATGCTGTCATCCTTCTGTTTATTCCTCTGTATGTAATATGCCTGTTTTCTCTGACTGCTTTTAAGATTTTCTGTTCATTGTTGGTTTTGAGCAATTTGATCATGATATACTTTGGAGTATTTCTCATACTGTTTCTTGGGCTTGGGATTTGTTGGTCCTCTTGGACCTGTGGGTTTATAATTTTTTCATCCAATTTAGACATTTTTTCACTCATTATTTCTTCAAATATTTTATTTCTGTCTCTCCTTCCTCTCCTCATATGCATACTTTTTCCTCTCTTTTGGGGACTTTAGACATATATTTGGCTACTTAAAATTGTCCCAGAGTTCCCTGATGCTCTTTTCATTATTTCATCTTAATTATTTTTTCTTCTGTGTTTCATTTTTGATACTTTTTATTACTGTGTCCTCATGTTTACTAACGTTTTATTCTGCAATGTCTAATCTGCTGTTAATCCCAAGCAGTGTATTTCTCATCTCATATATTATAATTTTCATCTCTAGAAGTTCTATTTGGGTCTTTTTGTATTTCCTATGCCTCACCTTAACTTTTCAAACATATAGACACAGTTATATCATTCTTGTCTGCTAATTCTAATATCTATATCAGTTATGGGTCAGTTTTGATATGTTGTTTTTCCTCTTCATGATGGGTCATATCTTCCTGCCTATTTGCATGCCTTTTAGTCTCTGATTAAATGGCTAATGTTGTGAATTTTATTTTGTTAAGTAATAAATATTTTTGCATTCCTATAAATGTTTTTAAGTTTTGTCTTGGGATGCAGTTAAGTTACTTGAAAACAGCTTGATTCTTTTGAGTCTTGCTTTTAGGATTTGCTAAGCAGGACTGAACAGTTTTTAGATTAGGGCTAATTATTCCCTGCTACTGAGGCAAGATCCTTCTATTCACTCTACCCAATGACTGGAGATTTTCCAGCCTGGCTGGTAAAAACAGGCACCATTTACAGCCCTCTGAGTGGCTACTGTTACCTCTAATCCTGTTGTGTAGTTGTTTTTCCAGCTATAGGTAGTCTCCTCACATGTATGTACTCATTAACACTCTGCTGAAGAAGAAGGCTCTGAAGTTCTCTATGTAGCTCTCTCCTCTCTGGTACCTGTTCAATGAACTCTAGATTCCTGGACTCTTAGCTCTGTCTCCTCAATTCAAGGTGTCCACCAGACTCCACCTATGCTTTCTGCTTCTTGCATCATGGTCTGGAGACTCTCTCAAAGCAGTGAGAAATCATGGGGCTTACAACATTTATTTTCTACCCTTCATTGTCTGATGTCCAATGTCTTGAAAACTGCTACTCCATATTTTGTTTGGTTATTTGGTTATTTTCAGTGGCAAAGTAAATCTGATCCCTATTACTTCATCTTCGATGAAAGCCAACATCTCCATGCATAGGATATTAATGATTGATGCACCTTAGGATAATCTCCTAGGGAGTGGTTGGAACCATGATGAACTGGAGAGCAGAATCCCATCTAAACAGGACAGTAGCTGTCAGATACAGCTGACCATTGCCACAATAGGATATGGACCCTGGATTACCACATCTTTTATTTATTTCTAAAGAAGCTGAATTTTATGAAACTTTTCTTGATTTTAAAGCACAGCATGGACCAAATTTAACATGTCTTCAGGCTGGGTCTGGCCCACCAGCCACCGGTTCTGAACATTGTGTGTTAAGGTCAATTCTTTACATAGAACGATGGTTTGTCCCTAGAGCATTACAAGTATGCAATCATGGAAATATCTTATGTCTGCACTCTCCAATACAGTAGTCACCAGCTATTTGTAGATATTAAAATTAGGCTAGTGCTTCTGATGAACTGCATTTAAAATTTAATTTAAATTTAAATAGTCACATGTGGTTAGAGGAAATCCTTAGAAAGATCAAGAAATCTTCATCAACATTGGTCCCTGGAAATAGGCAGCACCAAAGGCAAATCCTTATTTCTCTGTTTTCCTTTACCCTTCCAGACAAGGAAAACCTGAGAGTCATGCTAAAAATATTTTCTTTAATTGAGCTACTCTGGCATTTCTTCCTCCTCATGAGACCGCCCAACCTCCTAATCCTTCCACTGACTTCCTTTTTATCATTATGAGCTCCGAGGCCCTTAGAGCAAGAAAAGGGAGCTCAGAGAATGTCCAGAGTAGAGGTCTTAAATTTGTAACACCTAGTCCATAGGTATGTTTACTTTGGCTTTCACAATATTTAAAAATATTTGATTCGACATTTAAAAATTGATATATATGGGCCGGCCCGGTGGCACACTGGATAGTGCGCCGCTTGGGAAGCGCGGCGGCGCTCCTGCCCGAGGGTTCGGATCCCACATACAGACCGGTTCCTGCTCACTGGCTGAGCGAGGCGCGGGAGCAACGCCGAGGGTTGCGATCCCGTTGCCGGTCCCGGTCCGGTACGGGGGCAACACTGAGGGTTGCGATCC